TTTTGAGGGATTTTTAGGGGATTTGGGGGGGGATTTTTGGGGAATTTTTTTGGGGATTTTAGGGATTTTTACACTGACCTGAACAAGCTGAAAATTGCCAAAATTCCATAAAAATCCCGGAATTCCCCCCCCCCAAAAAAAAAATCCTGGAAAATTTGGGGTTTTGGGGTGATTTTGGGTCAATTTTAGGATCATTTTTGGGGGGATTTTGGGTCAAATTTTAGGCAATTTTTGTGAAATTTTGGGGCAATATTTGGATTGATTGAATTTTTAATCAATTTTGGGTGAATTTTTAATCAATTTTGGGTGAATTCTGGGTCAATTTTTAATCAATTTTGGGTCAATTCTGGGTGAATTTTTAATCAATTTCGGGGCAATTCTGGGGTTTTTTTTGGCCACTTTCCCCTCATTTTTTCCCCGATTTTCACCGGATTTTGGGGGGATTTTTTTGGGAAATCCCGAAATTCCTGAAATTTCCCCAAACTTTCCCAAATTTTAGGACGGGGACCTGAGCCCAGAGGAGATTTTGGGGCGCTGGGAACTTTTCGTGGGGAGCCGAGCCACAGACTACGGGCAGGATCTGCACAGGGGCCACGACGAGCTCTGAGCCCCCAAAAATCCCAAAAAAATCCCAAAATATTCCCAAAAATATCCCCAAAGTAACCCCCAAACATCCCCAAAATATCCCCCAAAAATCCCAAAAAACCCTGAAAAAAAATCATTAAGAAATCCCAAAATATTCGCCAAAAAATCCCCAAGAATTCAAAATAAATTCCCAAAAATATCTCCCGAACGTTGTCAAAACATTCCCTAAAAATTTAGGAAAAGCACCCCAAAAAATTCATGGAAAAATCGGGGTTTAAAAAGAAAAAACTGTGATTTTTAGACTAAAAATTTGGGATTTTTGGGAATAAAAAGTCGGGGTCACTGTGGCCAAAAATCGGAGTGTGAGTGGTTTTTGGGGGGAAAAACTGGGAATTTTTTTGGGGAAAAAGGGGAATTTTGGGGGAAAAAATGGGGGTTTGGGGGCAGAAAAAAATTGTGATTTGGGGGGAGAAAATTCGGGAATTTTGGGGGGAAAAAAATCGAGATTTTTTTTGGAGGGGAAATGGAATTCTGGGGAGGAAAAATGGGATTTTAGGGGAGAAAAAGTCCGGATTTTGGGGGGAAAAAAATCAGGGAATTTTTTTGGGGAAAATTGGGATTTTAGGGGATAAAAATTCGGGATTTTGGGGGGGGAGAAATTCGGGAATTTTGGGGTAAAAAATGGGATTTTAGGGGGTTAAAAAACCGGGATTTTGGTGTGTGCAGCAATCGAGGGTCCCCACATCGCTCCGACCCCAAAATTTGGGAATTTAGGAGTTAAAAAAAAAAAAAAAAAAAAAGAGAAAAAAAAAAAAAAAAAAAAAAATAGAGCGGGTGGGACCGGCCCCTCCCCCACCCCCCAACCCAAATTTGAGCCTCCGGGGGGAGGGGGGGGAGGGGTGACCCGTCCCAAATTCCCCCAAATTTGGGTCTGGGAGGATCCTTTGGGATCCGACCGAGATTTTTGGGGTTTTTTTAGGAATCAGAATTCCCAAATTTAACTCGGCGTCCTTTTGGGATTCCCGTCCCCCCCGCCAAGAAAAAAAATCTCTTCCCAGGTGACGCGGCCCCTTTAAGGAAAACCGCGCCTTCCCCGCGTCATTTGCATAACCCCGCCCATTGGCGCAGGGCGAGACCACGCCCCCTCCCTAGAAATCAATGGGGATTTAAGCCACGCCCCTCCATAGAAACCAAAGGGAGTTTTAAGCCACGCCCCCTCCATGGAAACCAACGGGGGAGTTTTTAAGCCACGCCTCCTCCATAGAAACTAATGGGGGTTAAGCCACGCCCCCTCCGGCTCAGCCCTTCATCTGCCGCAATGCTGAGGCCACTCCCCCTCCCGCCAAGCCACGCCCACCCCGCCAAGCCACGCCCCCCCTCGGGCTGCCGCGGGGCCCGGCCGAGTGTCCGGCTGTCCGTGGGTCCGGCCGGGTGTCCGTGGGTCTGTCCTGGCTGTCCGTGGGTCCGGCCGGGTGTCCGTGGGTCTGTCCTGGCTGTCCGTGGGTCCGGCCGGCTGTCCGTGGGTCTGTCCTGGCTGTCCGTGGGTCCGGCCGGGTGTCCGTGGGTCTGTCCTGGCTGTCCGTGGGTCCGGCCAGGTGTCCCGGTGTCCGTGGGTCCGTCCCGGTGTCCGTGTGTCCGGCAGAGGGGCCGCGTGTCCCAGCAGTGGCCGGAGTGGCCGCAGGGCTCAGGTCAGTGCTGGGGGAGGGGTCAAGGCCTCCCCCGTGGGTGTGTCCGTGTGTCCGTGTGTCCATCTGTCCGAGTGGCCGTGGGTGGGTGTGGCTGTGGGTGTGTCCGTCTGTCCATCTGTCCGTGGGTGTGTCCGTGTGTCCATCCCTGTGTCCGTCCATTGTCAGTGTGTCCATCCAGGTGTGTCGCTGACCCCTCTCTCTCTCTCTCTCCCCCACAGGTGTCCATCCAGGTGTCCGTGTGTCCGTCCAGTGTCCGTCTGTCCGTCCATGGCTCTGTGTCCGCAGCGCTGCGTTCCCCCGGGGGCCGTGTCCGTGTGTCCATCCCGGGTGTCCGTGTGTCCATCCCTGTGTCCATCCAGGTGTGTCACTGACCTCTCTCTCCCTCCCACAGGTGTCCGTGTGTCCATCCCTGTGTCCGTGTGTCCATCCCGGGTGTCCGTGCGTCCATCCCTGTGTCCATCCAGGTGTGTCACTGACCTCTCTCTCTCTCCTACAGGTGTCCGTGTGTCCATCCCAGGTGTCCTTGTGTCCATCCCAGGTGTCTGTGTGTCCATCCCTGTGTCCGTGTGTCCATGCCCGGTGTCCGTGTGTCCGTCCCGCTGTCTCACTGACCTCTCTCCTTTCTCTCTCCTGTCCCCCAGGTGTCCATCCAGGTCCAGGTGTCCACCTGTCCGTCCAGGTGTGTCACTGACCCGTCTCCCTGTGTCCCGCAGGTGTCCGTGTGTCCATCCCGGTGTCCGTCTGTCCGTCCATGGCTCTGGCAGACCCGGATCGCTCCGTCGTCCCCGGGGCCGTGTCCGGCCGTCCCCTCTTCTGCCGCCGGGGGGCGCTGAGGCACAAGGTGGTGCACGAGGTCAAGAGCCACCGGTTCACGGCCAGGTTCTTCAAGCAGCCGACCTTCTGCAGCCACTGCACCGACTTCATATGGTCAGTGACACACCTGGGCAGGTGGGACACACCTGGGGGGGTCACCTGGGTCACCTGTCACACCTGTGAGCCGTTATTGTCACCTGTGTGTGTGTCACTGATGTCCCCAGGTGTGTCCCAGGTGTGTCT